ATCGTTACAGGAGAGGAATCTTTTTCGTGTCACTTCTCTCCAGATTTGTCATATCTCTATGTCATTAGCTGCACAGTTGAATTGCCCTGTGGAAGACATTGTGTGGGCTAGTATGTGGACTACTCCTAATACTTTCCTATCTCATTACTTACATGATCTGCCAGTTTCCTCTTCTGAGGGTTTTTGATTACCCCTGGTAGCTATTTTGACCACATCTGTTTGATTTTATCCAAGGGTGAGTATTTCCTCAATCATATACTTTTTTATTTTCAGGGTGTCTTTTATATTTCACTGGATCCCACTCTGTGGCAAGTGTTGCCCAGGCAGGAATGCTTTCACTTTTCAATTTTGCACTAGCAACCATTTTCTCTATAATTACTACAGGTTGCAACAGACTCTGTCGAAATGGGGTGTTCCATAAGACCATCTAGGCGCTTACCAGATGGTATTACCTTTATATCATGGACTGCCACTCATGGACTATCATGAGTAAAGTTAAATGGGATCCTGCCTATCCCTGCCGATCTTCAGGTTGAATAAATCGGGGTCAGTTTGCTTTTAAAAATGTAGAGAACTTGGTTCACCTATTGCACAGTTTCCAGAGCACTGTTCCTCAGGGCTCCCTAATGCATATTACCCTCCCAAACTCTACTGGTAGAGCTTGGGAATCCTCACCACCCCAGTTTCCAGTTGCAGGGGTGGTGGACAGAGAATTTTCTTCAGAGTGTTAGAGTATGTTCCTCCATTCCTGGAGAAGAGGATGATGTTGGGGGCCCTCCTACTCGGGTGCCTGGATGTTTTCCTAGATGGCAGTAGGAGTGGCACCAGTCTCTGCAGGAGCCTACTAGTGATTAAAAATTTCCTGGTGAACGTTAGGCAATTGTTTGCTCTCTATAGCAAAACCAGTTGAGTAAACATGTGCTTCATAATGGAAATAGGGCTTCACTTTCTTCTTGGCCAATGAAAACTGATTATGCAAATAAGACATATTTATCATTCTAAACCAAGCGTGATTGTTCACGTGATTACTAAAAAGGGCTTCTTTGGTAGAGAAGAGAAAATGCTACGAATGCACATTTCAGACATTTTAGGAAACAGAATTTCCTTGGGTGGCCAAATGTACTTTGAAAACAGATGCATTTTGCAAGGTAGGCCTATTTTATTTGATACTTGATGTTTATGAAATGCTTTAATTCCCCAACCGATTATGTATTATCTTTAATTCAGTTTATTGTTTTTATTTGTACTAACATTTTTAAAAAGGCCTAGGCTAGGGGAACCACTGCCCAGATTTTTATTGAATTTTGTTCTTCTTTTAACTTTAAAAATGCCTAGGGTAGGGGAATTTCTGCCCAAATTTTTAATTCTTCATTGTTTAGTTAGATTAAAATTGTTATGTTTCTTATTGTGTTATTCCAGATTTGCAACAGAATTTTTACCATTAGTCATGGTAGCAAGAATAACCTGAAGAAGCATAGTCACAACATTGCATATTACCATCCAGAATGCAAAGACAACCACCTTCTCAATTTCATTATTTTTGTGAACCCAACAACAGATGATAGTGTTATCAGAGCAGAGGTTCTATTCAGCAACTTCATCTTTGCTAACCATTTTACCAAGCTTTGTAAGATGATGTTTTCTGACTCCAAGATAGCTCAGAAGTTTCACTGTGGTTGTACAAAGAGATCACAGGTGGTCAAGAGATTGTTAGCTCCAGCCTTGCACAGTGAAGTTGTAGATTACTGTAGGAAGGAACCATTCTCCCTTGCATGTGATGAGAGTAATGACACCAACTCAGAAAATACCCTTGTCATTCTTGTGAGATATTTTACTGACAGAGCAGCTACTAGATTCTACACCACTATTACACCACTGGCTAGCCATTCTTTCTTATTTTCTGTCCCATGAGGACTCAGAGAGATCTGGAAGAGTGAAGAGGGTGGCAGACAGCCTTGCAAGCCATGAGATGAACCTATACATCTGCTTCCTCAGCTACATCCTCCCCTTTCTAGTCATCTTTAACACCATTTTTCAGGCAGATGAGTCCAGGATTGGTATGTTGGGTGGTGCCATCTGAGATCTATTGAGGAAATTGCTTGGGAAGTTCATCAACACCAGGGTCATCCACAGTACAGAAGACATCACCAATGTTCCTTATAAGGATCCTACATTATACCTGGAGGATGATTTCTTGACTGTTGGTATGCCTTCCAGGAGCTACATAGCATCTCATGAAGATGAACTGGAGCCCTCCATGATGGACAGATTCTTTAAGGTGATCAGATGTTTCTATACTGCTGTTGTTGAGAAGATGCTGGTCAAGTTCCCCTTTAAGGGTCCTTTGGTGAACTCTCTTTTCCTTTTGCCAGAACAGAGAATAGACACGAACCCAGCACATATCATTGATCTGTGTCAGAGATTCCATTCTATCGTTCCAGTAGATGGCCATCAGGCTGTAAAGGAGGAATTTAGAGACTTTCAGCTTTGCCATGGTAGTGATCTTCCACCAGCAGATACCTCAGTTAATGTATTCTGGGCAGATGTCAGGAAGATGAAGGACTCCATTACCAAACAGGAGAGATTCCCCCATCTGGGTAGATTGGCTAACAATAATGTAGAATATGAAGGAGTCTTCTCCATGGTTATAAAGATTCAGACTGACCAGAGATCCCTACTGGACATAACAACATTAGAGACTTTGTTGAGAACCAAGATCAACAGAGATGAGGAGTGTTTCCAGTTAAAGCCTTCTGCAACAGTGTTAAAAAGTGCCTGTAGGGAATCTGAGATTTACAAAAATGAAAATATGATGATATCTTGAGACTTGCAGAATTGAAAACACATGACAAAATCAAAGAATGCATGAGTATTTGCAAAACTGATGGGCTTTAAACCAGTTTTGCTTGTAAATTGCTTGATTTGCTGCGAATCACGTAAAATCTCCCTCATGAGAATTTTGAAAAGTTGGCAAGTATTAGTGGCAGCAGTTTAAAAATGGACAAGTTTTCTTCTGCTAGTAGATAATATGCAAGATGTGTAATAAGCTATTTGAATATTGTTTTATTTTAATCTTATATATATATTCTGAACCATGGTGTCTGTCTGAGCATTCCTCTGTCTCCCGTTTGAAAAGCTGTGCACACAGCCAAAGCTCAATATTCACCTTTTGAAATGACAGGGAAACAGGCATGAATGATGTTGATACTAAATTTTATTTCCAAAGCAGGATATCATACTATTATTCACATTTCACAGTATGACATAACTTAAAACAAAACTGTAGATTTACCTTATGTAACTGAGTGGCTCTTAGCATGACTGAAATACTCAGCAATTACTTTTCATGGTAGGTAGCAACTTTGGCTTTGAGTGAAAATAAGAGTGCAACACAATTAATCTTTTAAAAGTCTATATAATAATTTAAATTGATAGATTAACTTAAACTTTCCCATCACTTTTGCTAGAATAACTTCAACTTTTCCTGTCAGTGGGAGGTCCACCAATGGGACAGTGGTAAGTCTGTGGATTTGTAATCGCTAAAATTAGAGGTTCTGATTCCTCTTAGTGGACACAAGCAGTAATCCCAATGTGGTTTTGATATAAAAAAAAAAAACTGTCACAGTCACTGGGGACGGGCACTTTTCCTTGGGTGATTATATCACTACTTTTGAAGAAGGTTCACCTTTTGAAAGTGGTTGGGTTATAGGGTTTTGTATTTTTGTTTTAAATGGATTTTTTGAGCCTACATGTTTTCCTAGCATCATGAATTTTAATGGTAAATGGTATTTTATTTAAGCTTACATGATATTTTCAAAAAATTGTTTTGTGGACCAACATGAACAGACTCATTTAAAATGTTTTCGGAACTTTATGAGACTTTATTATAATTAACAATAAGCCATTTAAACTTGTAATAACAGTAGTAATAACAAAAACCTTCAGAAGAAGAAATGTTGTCCCATTACTACAGAATGGGGGCCCACTTTGGGTACATTATTGGGGTGACAGTCAAATCCCACTGTTCAATTATAGGGTAACCCAATAATTAATGGTGGTTTTTGACTAACTGCCTTTTATGTTGTCTGTCACTTCAATATTAATTTAGGGGTGGGAAAAATGGGTAGTCTGCCTGTGTGTAGTCTTGTGCAAATATTTACTCAGAAACTGAGAAGTTATAGTTAAAAACTATGTAACCACTGCCTATAACTAATGTCTGTTTGAAAACACATTTGAAGAATAATATAAGAGTGACTGATTGTTTTTACTTGATTTTTGAATAATGTATAAATCATTTATTGTATGTAGGTGCTTTAACAGTATTAACTATTTATGCAAATTTTAACAGAGTATACATTTTAATATATTTTGTTTTTGCTAATAGACTTCATGCTTTTCATTCAATCAGGTAGGAGAAATTTCCTTTATAAACCTCAAGACACGTCGAGAGATAGGAGGAACATACATTAATACATCTGTCCAGTCTTTACATGTTCTTTATAATGAAAAAAGTAGCACATCTTATTTACTGGTGAGTTACTGAGTTCCTCAATTGTCAAGAATGAGTAAGTATTTCTAGTACAAATTGCAACATCATCTTGCTTATGTAAAACTATACTAAACAAATTTTGTGCTTGCCCTAAACTGTTCCCTCTGTTATAAAAACGAGTAGTGTTTTATGCTTGCCCTAAACTGTTTCTTCTGTAACAACAAGTAATGTTTTTTTTTATCAGTTTGTTTCTGATTTGTTTGTTGCTGAAAATAATTTTATAATCGAAGAATAAGTAGGTGTATAAAAGGAGCCATCGTCATATTGTAGTACAGTTGTTTTGGGGCTTGGCCCTGAGGTGAACCTAACTCATCCTGTTTTTCTTTTAGTATTATATGTATATTTGAAATCTCAAAATATTTGACAATTGGGTAGTTGGTACTTTTAAAACAGTTTGTACATTTGACAATACGGATCAGTACTTTTAATGGAATGCGTGTTTTATATCATGATTTTGAAAAATACACCAAAGTCAATACAGCAAGTCCTTTCAGATTAATTGTGAGTGAAATGTGTCCAAAGTTTCAAGTAATTACCTTGGAGAATGGTGGTTATTTATCCTGGATTTTCTAGTCAACTGTTAATTAAATTCATATTTCAGTATAATACCATAGTTTGAAGATGGTTGTGTGCTTAATTCAGAACAATAAATTTTAAAAATTAAGCTCTTGCTCAGGAATTGGACACAGAACCCAAAATAACCCTCATGGCCAGTTCACAGATTTTGTTACTCTTGTTTGACTGTTGAATTGTGGGCACCAACAAAGGGCTACATTGATTAAGAGTGTGATTCACACAGCTTTAGTAAAAATCTCTGACTTTAGAGGGCAGCAGTAATGCATTTACATTCCCCCTGTGGCTAGTGATATGTTTTATTTAGGAACAAAAGTTGGGTGGAGTTTCAGGACCCGACTCCCATATGAGAATCTGCTGTATTGTGATCAATGAAATTCATTGCCAAGTCAAACAACATAAGGACACTTCCATAATTGGTCAGTCAAAAATCACTTACATAGAAATGTATCATGAATGATTGAACAAATAATATTTCATTCATTTGGAAGGCCATTGGTTTGATTTAAAAACTAAATATACAATGGTAACAAGCTGTTGTGTTTGGTTGACACAAACAACTGCTATAACAATGTTTCATGTATACAAAATTCTTATCAAAGTTAAACTGAGTTATCAGTGTTTTCAAATAGACACAAAGTAATGCCAAATGTGATTTTATCAAATACATTGAATACGTGGATTATTTGTAAAAATTCTAATGGGCTCTCAGTATTACAGTGAAGAAACTCGGGCATTTTAGTGGTTTATCTCACTAGGCCTAAAGGTTTGTAATGTGTACTAGCTACAAGCTCTCTCAAGGTTACTAACTGTGAGAAAGTTTACATATAGTTCATAGATTAGAGATGGTTAACTGATGTGTTGGTTTGTGTACACTGTAAAGTATTGTCCAGGGGAAACAAGCAAGTTTATTCTATGAACATTTTGTAACATTACATTGATTATCTTCTTTGGTGTATTGTATAAAACCTGGAGGATGCAACAAATATTTTTATTGAAATATGCTGTCCATATTTATGTGTTTTATTGAGGAAATGAACAACAATTTAACTTTTCAACAATATTGAACTTTATAAATACTTAACTTCATCATGTTCATGTGTCATGTTTTAAAACTCACTCTACCTCTATGATTTTGACAGTTCAGAGTTTAGCCTTACATCACTGTCTCTTTTTTTATTTTGTAACTGAACAGTTCACTGGGTATTTGTTGCCTTCCCAGCATCTGATGTTTTTGAGAATACTACCATAATATTGGTTTTGTTCAATGTCAAGATGGCGCTGAAGGTTTGATGCAAAATATCGTAAATTGGAGGTGATGTAGCTGTATAAGTCAGTTCTAAGTTTAGCTGTTGCTCCTAACGAAGGTGGCATAGAATACAACCAAAACGTGTAGTCTCTCTTTTAAGGGCTGTATCCTGTTTTAAATTATTCTTATTTATTGTGCTACTATTTAACGTTGAGGAACTTTTAATTTTTTAATATTACCCCTATTTTAGTATACATTGCTAAACATTTTCATTAAAAAATTCTCTGTGAATATATGGAGTCATAGTGTTGACTGCTTCGAGTGCAAAGGGATTGTCATGTATAAGATTAAAAATACTTTTCTTCATCTGAAAATTGTCAGATTTCATGTGCATAATCTCTAATACCTCCAAAATAAATTTCAAACGTTTTTTTTTTTAGAAAAGGTATATTGTATCTATTATTTTCTCTACCCTAACTCTATATGAGGTTGGTCAGTTTGACTGACCTCATAATAACCATAAAAAAATACAAAACTTCATTTGTTTATTTTAAAGAGCTTTAAATTCTTATCAGTATACACCAGTTTGTATTTGCATTTTATTGTTTTATTGACCTTTGAACCATATTTAACTAATAATCCTGCAACACAAGTTGTAAATCACTTGGTGAATGTGTAGCTCACGTTACCCTATCAAATTATATAATGCAAAAGCTAGTTGCGAATTGCTCATGAGCGTACCTCATTAAAGTTATTTTTTCCATTTTACTTAATCTAACCTAAAAAGTTCCTAATTTTTACAGTTTAATTACTTTTATAATAACATAGAAAACACATGAAAAACAAGAAATATAGTATTTACTTGAATCTTCCTTTTTTGCTGTCAACTGTTGATGAAACTTAACCCTGTTTCTTTATATTAATGTTACTACTGCACTAAATAAATTTTTAACTAATTAAGTAATGCACCAAAGAACAGAGATTAATAATGTACAAAAAGCAGATAATGTCTCATAATTATCACAATATTTATCCCTCTGTTATCTGATGGTGCTTTTTGCTTGTTAGAAAAAAACAATCTAAGAAAGGAAAACATTTTTGTTGTGTCTAGATGATGTCATCTCACAATATTCCTTTAATGTTCATGTCAACAAGTGTCCACATGACAAAGTTACTAAATTCACTTTGCATTATATGCAACGGACTTTAAAAATTGGTAAAAATAATTGTGAGTTCCTTTGAGTTGAAGATCTGTGCTTGAAGTGGTAACTAAAGAACAAAACTGTTTCAAGTTTTTAGCAATTTACATTCAGCTGTTTTGTTTTCACTTCCAGTACTCCATTCCTTCTTACTAGGCCAGCTGGTGATATACCAAAAGCTGAGAGCAACAAATAATCCACATCGTTGAGCTTGTACTCATTTTTTTTTCCCATAATCTTTTATAGCAAGGTCTTCATTGTTCTTTCTATACTGAGTGGCTTCTGTCATGAAAGTAGGAAAATAAAATAACCTTTTGACTATGTTTTTACAAGAAGTAGTTTCTCTCATTTTGCAAATGCATCTAAAATCTGATGCTGTAAGTCATCTGCTTCTTTCCAAAACCATAACCCGCTTTCAACCATGTATATTGTGATCTAACTCATTTTACCTGTCTTCAGTTACTTTTAGTTTTATCATAAATTCTTAATTAGTCCTTAGCTCATCATCATTTAAATCTGGTTGTAAGAGATAGTCACTATAATTGTCATCTGCTTCTTTCCAAAACCATAACCTGCTTTCAACCATGTATGTTCTGATGTAACTCATTTTACCTGTCTTCAGTTACTTTTAGTTTTATCATAAATTCTTAATTAGTCCTTAGCTCATCATCATTTAAATCTGGTTGTAAGAGATGGTCACTATAATGGTCATCTGCTTCTTTCCAAAACCATAACCCGCTTTCAACCATGTATGTTCTGATGTAACTCATTTTACCTGTCTTCAGTTACTTTTAGTTTTATCATAAATTCTTAATTAGTCCTTAGCTCATCATCATTTAAATCTGGTTGTAAG